TTCTATATGCATCCGAAGAAGTGGGCTGTAGTCCACGAAAGCTTATGCTCTAATAAATTTGTTAGTCTCTAAGGTGCCACAAGTCCTCCTGTTCTTCTTTTTTGATTGTGGAAACATGGTAACCCTAGGAGACCCCCCCCAGATCCGCCCCCAACAGCTCCCTCCCCTGCACTCACAGCCCCCCATTCCCAAGGCCTGGGGAAAGCTGGGTCTTGCACGACTCCCGCCAGTCACAGACTCTATTCCCAAATCCGGTTCGGGGGGCAGGGCTGCAGGGGGCCCACTGGTCAGGTTCCCTGGCTGGCCTCAGGTGGGGCTGGGGGGGGGGGAGCGGCAGGTGATCTCACATGCAGCTGGGTCCTGAGCTACATCTGGGTGAACCCCCTGCCCCCAAGCCCCATGGGCAGGCAGTGCCAACCCTGGTAGGGGACAGACTCCCAGAGAGGCCGAATGACGGATGGACTGAACTGGGGGGAGGGAGGCAGGGGTGTGTGTATCTCCCCTGTTTAACTCCTGTCTTGTTGAAAGCAGGGAGTAAATTTCTCAAACCCACCATCTGGGTGAGCCCCAGCAGGGTGGTGGCCCTCGGGGGAAATGTCACCATCCGCTGTGAGGGTCGGCAACGATCCATGGAGTTCTTTCTGCGTAAAGCTGGACACCCGAACCAGCAGGTGCGGACGATGCCTAATGGGACCGTGGCTGAATTTCCCATTACCAGTGTTGGCCAGGAAGATGGAGGGAACTACACCTGCGACTATCGCTCCATAGTGGATCAGAGTCACTCATCACATCCCAGCGACCCCGTCAAGATCATTGTGGGAGGTGAGGGAGGGACCCAGCTCAGAGTCCCTCTCTGGAGATTTGGGGCAGAGGAAGGGGGGATCCCTGCCCCCAGGGGGAGCTGCAGAGCAGGGGGGCCTTTCCCAGACAACACATCAGTTATGGGGTGATGGGCGGAGCTGAAGGTTATAAACCTCAGTGTACGGTAGAGACTTGCACAGTCCCTTACAAGTCAGTGGTGGTGCTGTGCACAGAACCCAGGAGTCCGGGCCCCATCCTCCCTGCTCTCCCCACTAGACCCCACTCCCCTCCCAGAGCCGGGGACAGAACCCAGGAGTCCTGGCTTCCAGCCCTCGCAGCAGAGAAGCCAGGGAGTGAATGGACCCTGGAGACTGGACTGTCCTGTCACCCGCTAGGGAGTAGAGCTCTGGATTCCCAGGGGCTGGGGTTGCTCCGTGTCTCATGCTGCTAGCCCAGGGCTCAGAGGAAACTCTGGACCCTGTGGAAAGGCATCCAGGAGCCCGTCCCCAGGACCGCTGGGTCTGACCGACCACTGAGGCCGCGTAGTGAGGACGGGCTCCAGGACTGAGTGACGGGGCCTGCGTCTCACGGTCTGTCTGCTTCCCACTGCAGAGCCCAGCTACCCCAAACCCAACATCTCTGTGAGCCTGGGGGGAGCTGTGGTCGTCCGGTGTTGGGGGCAGCACCAGGATGTCCGGTTTGTGCTGAATAAAGAGGGACGCCATTTCCCACCTCTGGATTCGGATGGGTTTGAGGCTGTGTTTTCCAGCAGCAACGTTCACCGGGATCACGGCGGGAGATACAGCTGCTCCTATCACAGCCGATCGGAGCCGTTCGCCGTGTCGTACCCCAGCAACCAAGTGGAGCTGGTGTTGAGAGGTGAGGGGCCTGCCTTGGCATCCCCGTTCCCAGCCCCCCCCCCGCCCACGCCAGCCCCTCACCAGAGCTTGGAGACAATGGGACGCTCAGAGCCAGGCTCTGCCCTGAACCCTGACCCAGCAGAGGGGACACCCGACTGGGGAGTGGGGACGGAGTCACTGGGGGGTTCCCCAGCCAGGGGGGAGCAGCAGTCCCTGGACACTCAGGGCAGGGAGGCGACTTTAACGCTGCCCCTTATGCGTAGAAACCGTGAGTCGCTATTTAATCCCGTGATCCCATCCCCTCTGTTCTCCAGACCGTGCCCCAGGCAGGGCCCTGGCCTGGGCTGAATGAGGCAGGGGCTGCAGGAGGAGCAGTTGCTTAGTGGACACGGCGCTGGGCTGGGACCCCGGAGATCTGGCCCAGCCCCTGGTGCAGACACAGACTCTGTGTGATCGGAGCACGTCGCGGTTTTCAAAAGTGTCCTCCCTTGCGGGGGGGGGGAGGGCTCAAACTTGGGGGATCTCAGGCCGAGAGCCCACAAACAAAGATGCCCACAGATAGTGGAGACCTCTGACAAAACTGGCCTCAATAGCGCTGCATAAACACAGAGTGAAGAGACAGTCCCTGCCCCTGGGAGCTCACTAAGGAAAGTGAATCTGTCTGTGCCTCAGTTCCCCCCCTGTAGAATGGGGATAAAGTTGTCTCACTGCCTCCCGGGGGGATGACTCCTTTCCTCTGTGGGGCTCAGACCCTGCCATGCCAGGTGCCAGAGACCAGCCCATGAGTCACTCTGTGCTGCGGGGCCCGGACGCAGTGAATGAGGCAGGGGCCACACATGGCATATGAGGACCCCAAGAACAAGGCAGCCGTGGCTCCGTGTCTGTGGGGCTGGAAGCCCAACTCGCAGGGCCAGGATTCTGGGATCTGGGAGAGAATCTCTGCCAGGGGCCACTGGATCTGCCCGTGCCTGGGAACGGCTGGGGAATCATAGAGGATGGAGATTCCACCACCTCCCTAGGGAGCCCAGTCCAGTGCTTCACCACCCTCCTAGTGAAATAGTTTTTCCATAATATCCATCCTAGACCTCCCCCACTGCAACTTGAGACCATTGCTCCTTGTTCTGTCATCTGCCCCCACTGAGATCAGCCCAACTCCATCCTCTTTGGAACCCCCCTTCAGGTAGTTGAAGGCTGTTATCAAATCCCCCCTCACTCTTCTCTTCTGCAGCTGGAGGCCGGGGCTGGGTGGGTGCCCGGGTCTGGCTCTCACAGCCTGTCTCCTGTGCGCAGATCCCAACTTACCCA